CACACCCACACCCACCTACACTCACACCCACACAGCCACACCCACCCACATCACACCCACACACCCACGCCCACACCCATACCCCACACCCACACACCCACACCCACAAATCCAGATGCATTTGTATTAAGTATTTCACAATTTAATAAATAATATAATATTTTCTATTGGCATTATTTTATTTGTATTAATCCATCGAATAATTGTTTTTATTTTGCAAAAGAAGAAACACTTCGAAACATATTTTTTTCATCCTTTCAAGAACTTATTAGTGATGAACGTGTACGTAATTATATTCCATTAACTGAAATTCTAGCAGATTCAATTGAATTTGAAGAATTAAAAATTGAAAATAAAATTGGTGAAGATCAATTTGGTGAAGTATTTCATGCAAATTGGTGTAAAGATCAAAGAATAATACCGGTAGCTGTAAAAAAATTACATATTCATAATTTTACAAGTATAATTGAACGAGAAATTGAAGCTATGAAAAAATTAACAAATTTATATATTATAGCATGGTAAGGTATTTCTCAAAACCCAACAACAAATGAAATTTTTTTTGATAAGTGAACTGATGGAAAATGGAGATTTAAAATCATGATTAAAAAATTTACTGAATTTACCTGAATGTTCTACTCTATTACGATATGCAAGAGATATTTAGAACATCGCAATTATGTTCATCGAGATTTAGCATGTCGAAATATTCTTCTTGGTTCAAATGGAAATTTTGTTAAAATTGCTGATCTTGGATTATCAATTATGATAGATACAGATCGATGTCACTGAAGCTCATTCAGAAAAATTACCAATTCGTTGGTTAGCACCTGAATTAATTGATAATCAAGCAGCTTATTCAATTAAGTCAGATGTATGGTCATTTGGTATTCTGTTAATTGAACTTTGGCTAAAAGGTGGAGATCCTTATCATAATCAACATATAACATGGATATCATCTGTTGTTAGAGATGGATATGTTCATGAAAAACCACCAAATTGTCCTGTCGAGTTCTATGAATCTTTGATATGTCAATGTTTAAAATTTAAAGCAAATGATCGACCAAGTTTTCTAGCTTTGAAACAATTGTTAGACAAATGGCAATGTTAATTCTAACAAGATTTTGCTTTTAAAAGATTGTATTATGTGAATAAAAATAATCATCGGTTTTTTTTATTCACATTTTTATTTAAAATAATATAAAATAAATGAAATAGTATTATTAATTTTATTGAGTTAAATCCATTAATATTTACCGACTTCT